GGTTGTTATGAGTTGGAACCAACTCAGCAGCTATTTAACAACTAAAACAGGAATTTGGGGGGCAGGCGGCAAATGAGCAAGGAGAAGACTACAGTGTGAGAAGAGTTGGGTGAGTGAGAACATTTGCCCAACAGAAAACTCTAGCTTCAAGGGCCTTTCTGACAAATCAAGCTCTAGGCGATTGTTTCCATTAACCAACATCACCACCTGGTGGCCATCAAGGGCAAACACTCTAGGAAGAATTGAAGCCGTGCTGCATGAAGCTAGTCCAGCCCGGTGGTGATCAGCTCTTCCCATGTAACAGTCAAGGCCCCCTGGCGGTTGAGATTGGCTCTTGGTTCAGTGTGTAGGCAGATCATCCTGGCAGAAAACTACTGCCTGAGAACTGCAGGCCAAGTGGGTCTCATTATTGTCAGGGTGTAGGTCTGAGCTGGAAAGAAAAACCAGTGACAGGTTGGCCAATTTGCTTGGAGACCAAAGGGGGCTTCAGAGGCCTACTACACCTTTCAGAAGGCTTTTCAAGATTCAAGAGGTGAAGCTGAAGCCCACGTTATTAGCTAGCTATCAGTTGAAGTTCCAGGTGAGGACCAAGTTCTGGGGTAAGGGATTTCCAAACCATCCAGTCAGTGACTTCCAGGAGTTTGGGGATGTGGTGAGGTGGGGAGCCGACTTTTTAAAAGAACTAACTCTGGCGCTATAATCTTACTGGAAAGGAGCTCTGGTTGGTGTAGTGGTTACGAAAAGGGCTGCGAACCTCACGGTCAGCAGTTCAAAATTACCAGCTGTTCTGCGGGAGAAAGATGAGGCTTTCTGCTCCTGTAAAGATTTACAGCCTCGGAAACCCTGTGCAGAGTCGGGGCATCAGAACTGACTCCACGGCCCATCACAACCATCTTACTGGAATCATGATGTGGCACTATAGGTTTACCACTGGATTTCAAGGTTGGTTTGAACCACAAGGTTGCTGGTTCAAGCTCACCAGCTGCTCCTTGAAAACCCTCTAGAGGGTCACTATGAGTTGGAACTGACTCCACGGCACAATCATCTTATTGATCAAGGCCCAGCCACTTGCCAAGGTATATACACATTTTATTTTTTAAAAAGTTTACAGTTTTCATTGTACACAACTATGAAGAGCAACTTATAGCCCGAAGCGGCATTTGTCTTGTTAACAGAAGTGCCTACTAGGATCATCACAATGCAAGAGAAATGGTGGGAGGGAAGAGAAAGGGCAGGGAAAGGCGATAAAAAGCTTAGGTTTCAATGAAGGGCTTCTAGACCCCTTTTTCAAGTAACACACTGTACCAAATATAAGTGATTCATGGCCGTTTCTTCCCAAGAGCACAGCCAAGAGCATTTGCTTCCAAGGCCCGGCCCTTCCTCAAGTGAGCAGGGGGGTGCCCAGTACATGTGAGGGTGGTTAGTTTGCCCTTCCTCCTGGGGCCTCCACCTGGCCAGGCCCTGATGGAGTCGCTCGTGTCCAGCGGCCAGAGAAAACCTGAAGAGATTCAGAAGACCTGCAGTTCTTTATGCCCAATTAGAAATGATTTGTTAAGACAGCTGTGGAAGTTGATGAAATGAAAATTCTTGCTAATTTGGGTGAAATGTTTTTCACTTTTCTAATTGAGTCACTAAAAACATAGATGGGTCACCCACCCTTTAAAATCAAACACTAGTTCTCATAAACGTGCTGTTTGGTTTCACCCTATCCTGAAACCCCAAACCCACTGCCCTGAGTCAATTCTCACAGTGACCTTATAGGATTAAAACTGTCCCATAGGGTTTCCAAGGTTGTATGTTTCTCCTGTGGTGCGCTGGAACCAGTGACCTTGTGGCAGGCAGACAAGCGCTTAACCACTGTGCCATTCTGGCTCCTCCTCCCCCACCCCCCCTACCCCCCAGCAGCCTAATAAAAATGGCGCCAGTCTTAAGGCCAACTCTGGCTTCAGGGAGCCTTCGGAGGAGGGAAAATTCCTTTGAGGAGAGACACTCCTCAGGGGCTTAGACGTTAGTTGGCAACTAGAACAGCTTTTAAAAAGGAAAAGAAATGCTAGGTACTGGAGGGAGAGCAACATGCGGTAAGCACCTTGCTAGTATAGTGGCTCCTTGAGACGTCACAGTAACCTCAAGGGTGGTGAAGACAAGAACTATGATGCCAACTTCCAGGTTGGCTACCACAAGGCCCAGAGCTGGGCTTCCAGAGCGAAAGGAGAGCCCACTAAATGCTGCTTTACTGGGATCATCGCGGTGTTTGAATTCAGTCAATGGAACAGGGATTAACCCCCAATAACTATGGGTCCTAGGAAGGGGTGGGGAACATGCAGATGCAGCTCTGAGCCATCATCACCTTTACAACCAACTAGGTACAGCTTTCTCAGGGACTGCTGGACGTTTTTCTGAGTGTGGGGGGAGGGGCAGCAATCCTAGCCACAACCCCTGCCCCAAATCAACACCCTCTATTGTTGGGTGTCAACGGTCTCACATTCACACACCAGGCCTCTGTACTGGTGAGCATGGCTTTCAATGCCCACCTTACCCAGGCGCTGCGAAGGGATGGAGTTCTCCTGAGGAGGATTCTTTCTCAGGAGAACTTCCAAGAGCCCAGTGAAGCCCCATGCAGCCAAAAACCATGCATGGAAGCCAGGTTAGTGCCCAGAAGGAGATGTGCACAGAATGAGGGCGGAATGTAAGGTGGAGAGCAATCGCAGCTTCCAGAGCTTAAGAAGCCTAACCACACCTTCAACAAACACACACACACACACAGACACACACACTCTGATACACACACACAGGGTCAAATGCAACCACTCACCTCCCCTTCAGCTCCTGCCCCTAACCCCTACTTTTGAGAATTCTGTCCCATCAGACCCCTGGTGCTGGAGTTCCAGGCAGGCGGGCTGGTGTCTCTATGGAGTGTTGGTGTCTCTATGGAAAGCTTACTGCTCACATACCTGCCCCACCCTTGGTTCGTGACTCACCAACTAGTTTTTTGCTAAGAGCCATTTGCATCTGGACATTATATATTTTTTTGGGTTGGGGGGTGGGGAGGAGAAGGTAATTATAACACTATTGTTTATGCAATATTGAAAAAATACAATTTTTTATTGTTTGAACTGAAATCACCACCCAGTACTGGAAGCCTACCCTAAATAGCACCTACAATCAAGGTCACCGCACAAGCACACTGCTAATTCAGCAGGGAAGCAGGTTAAGACAGCGCCAGCAGAGACCCTCCCTCCCCCAGAGTAATGAGAAGACAACGAGCTAACTAAAGTACACCATTACATGTGAAATAGTCACTCCTACCTGTCAACAAGCCACGGATGCTAGAGATAACTAAGCACAGCCCTTACATAACTACACTGTTCATTTGTAATTTTTAAAAGAAAACCTTTTGCTTCATGCCCGTAATTAACATAAAATAAGTAAATTATTTGTCTTTTATTTAGGAAAATAATCATGCTAAAAGCAAGTTGTACTTTATATAGATTTTCAAAGAAAAGATTGATTGTGCTTTTTGAATTAAAAAGGAAAAAAACAAAATAGGGTATTTTCCAACCTCATTGACTCAAACCTTGTGGAATATAATAGCACTTCTAAACTAAAAACACACACCAAAAATTAAAAAATAAGAGGATCTCCCAGTGGGACCTTCAAAAATTGTCTTTAGGCGGTTTTAGGATTGGCTAATTCTGTCCTAATTGGTTGTGGCAACAAAGAATACCAAGTTATAGTCTGACGTGTCTCCAAGTTCCCCAAGTTCACATTTGAGAGACTCTGCCTGCAACCTTGGACACATGGTTAGCCAAGGAACACATTTGATTAGCGGGCATTTGCAGCGGTGTGGTTTCCTCTGGACACATGCACATGGAGAAAAAAAAATTCCTTCCTTCAAAAGCTGGGGGATGGCATTCATCTCCAAACCCCTCTTCCCTAGTCAGGCACCCTCTGAATAAAGCTGTGTTTATTTTTCCCACCAAGAGTCACTTTGGGTCTTAGAACCTTTATTTGTTCCAATTATTATCCATTTGAAATGTAAAATGTGTATTGGGTCTGAAATCCCCGTTTTTCCCACCTTTACAAGTAGATATTGGTCAGGCTGCTGCCAGGCGAGTAACAAAAAGAGAGAAAATTACTAACAGAATTAGGCATACACCCAGGGCCCGCAGCCACAAAGGTGGTATTCCCGGGGCTGCTGGCCCACTGAGCCAGTAGGATGAAGTTTTACATCTGCAGCCTGTCTAAGAACAATTCACTGCCTACTCCTCACAAACGCTCCTCCCATTTAAAGCTCCTGTCTTGCTCCAGCTGCAGTCTCCCGCTGGCCAACAGTAGGACGACATCTGATTGGTACTTGGGGTCAATGGAGCATCTTCCCTGGTCACTTGCTCTCCTCCTCTCCTGTACGTTTAAAAAGAAAAAAAAGCTCTATCCTCCCCAAGAAAAAGGACTGGGTTCAGAAAACACTTTCAAAAGGTTCTCCAAAGCAAAACACTTGTGGCTGCAGGGTCCAGCAGCTTGAATGGCCAGAGTCGACATAGAAAAATGTACTTAAAATCCAAGTCAGGGAAAAAAAAAAGGTTTTAAATTTCAATACGCCTATTAAGCCTCCTGTTGTGTTCTGTTACTCCACAGATGGGACCACCTGCATCAAGAGGAAGGAGCAGCCCTCTCTGAGGGAGCAGGTGCTCATGGTTCCTGGATGGGCCTTTTTCCTCCCCAGTCACTTTCTTTCCATTTGGAAGAAGCACTATTCTGTCTTCATGTCCAAGAGCTGGTCGGTTTGGTTTGTTTCTTTGGAACCATCAGTAAAGGACGATGGCTACTCACGCCTCCCTATCAGAGCAGCTCTTTCTAGTGATGGTCCAGGAGCGCACAGGTGGCCTTGGCCGTGGCCATGGACTGATGGACACATGCATTCAGACTGCATATTGCTACCAAAATGGAATGTGGGAATATGCTATGCACCTCAGGGTGAGAAATGACCAATACATCAAGATCTAAAGGGTGATATATAATCTATATATATCAATGCTATTATTCATAAAAACCTTGTTTAGTAATAAAAAAAATTGCTTTGTTTAAATATGAATATTATAGTCTGCTTCTCATGGTTAGGAAATAAGAGTCTTTCTGAAAAGCAGGTGCATTTTCTACTACAACTCCATGTCCTGGGCCTCATCCTCGGAAAAGTCAGACATGGAACTCTCGGACGAGCTGTCGCCGGTGCCCTCCTCCTGCTCCTTCAGCGCCTCCTCGGTTGCGTATTTCTGAATGTACTCTGCACAGGGCATGGGGACAAAAACAAGGGGACAGCGATGAGAGGCAGGCAGGTGCTGGATTGACCCTAGCCCTCCTGGAAAATGCCAGTTCTAAGGCCACTCATGTCAGGATAATCCCACAGGGAAATGGCTTGGGGACTGAGATAGTGTAGCTGGTCCTCAGGAGACTGAAAGGGGTGAAGCAGAATAGCTGGGGCCTAATTACACTGACACAACCCCTGCCCCCACTCCCCAGTGGATGGGTTTCCCTCCCCCAACCCCAGGGGACTCAGCTGCAAGCCCACCCAGTGGCAGCCAGGGCCCCCGCACCCAGGGCTTTCCTTACTGACTTCTCAATATGACTGCACCTCCCTAAGCTCCTATGTTAATGAAGCAACAGGCCCCCATAGAGAACAGAGCTCTGCGTGACTCTATGGTAACACACAAGGAAATGTCCCATCATTTTTAGATCTGCAGTTACATGATTACAGTCAGCCCCAGTCTCTATTTTGAAAACAGAGTTTGGTCTAAGCAGATCCCACCTGTCAGAGTTTTGAAGCAGCAAGTGGAGACAGACTCTCAGTCTGCTCTGTGGAGACACCGGAAGTTTCTGAGCCACCTGACCAGGTACTATTTACCTAAGGGTTTACACTGACACAGAGGAAGCAGAAGCTTCGGGTTGCCAAAAAGATGCAGAACTGCTTCATACACCAGTAAAGATGTTCCTAAAAATTCTAAGTGCATACTGTTTCCAAATCAATAGCAGACACACAGCAAGAAGAGACAAGCCGGTTAAGAGCATATTCAAAATGCAAATTTGAGGAAAAACATCCTTCCTTCCTCTGCTTTGCTCTTTCTGCTCTGGAGCTGAGGGTCCAGCTGTAACAGGAGGAGAAGGGAAATGCCTGGAGGGGTCTGCCAAATTCGAATCCTACAGAACAAGGGTCCAGCTAAGAGGGGCTTTTACATCTTTAAAGGTGGGGAGGGAAGAAGAGGAGGAGGAAGAGAAGGAAGAAGATAAGACCACTATGTGGCCAAAGACATAGGAAAAAAAACCCTGTGGATTCTGACTTAGAGCCTTTCAGATGTATTAAAACCAAATTTGACTTGGAGATTGATTAAACAAAGCCCTTAGCTGGGCAGGAATCTAATCGTAGTTTACACTGTAGTGTGAGAAGCGTTTATTAAGTCTGAAAGGTTTTGTTCTTAACATTTCTTAGGTTGGCTTGTTTTTTTTTTTCCCTTTGAGAAACTGCTGCTCTGACACTCATTCCATGTGTCAGACTTTGCTTACTATACTTGAGAAGACAAATCTCTAAGTGCTTACTAGGACACAGCCTTTCATGAGACTGAAAAATGCAGGAGAAAAGATCGAGTAGTCCTCGATTTACAATTATGATGAACCGCACTTATGGCCATCTGGGTTTTTTGGTGTGTGTCTTTTTTGGGTACATCTTATCACTAGCAGCATGCACTACAGTTGACTCTTGAACAACATGGGTCCCTGTGCAGGTCCACTTATACGTGGGTGTTATTTTTTTTTAACACTGTGTGACACCAATTATGCCCACAGGAGCAGTTCATCTCTTAGAGTTTTCTTGTGCCTATTTGTCACTGAGTTACATGGTTCCCATGTAGTCCTGGCTATGCTGGTTTGAACTGTGCAATCGGCGGTTCAAACTTACCAGCCTCTCCTGGGAAACCCTACCTACACAGGGTCACTATGAGTAGGAACCGACTGGATGGCACTTCACAACAACAACAACAACAACAACAGCAGCAGCAGCAGCAGCAGCAGCAGCGGCAATGGCTCCCAGTCTTCTAGGTGTTCCAACTTCTAATTTAGGTAAGAAGGGGACTCCTGACAGAGATCGTCACAAATTATCCCCCTCCTTGGATTGACCCGAAGCTGTGGGAGGTTAGAGTGAGTGCCTCCAAGGGGTGGAGAGGGAGTGAGGGACTCTAAGACTGGAATCATAAGGGAATGACCGCATTTCGGAAACGGGAAAGTTAGCAAAAAGGGAGGCGGTAAATACAGAAAGGTCCAGGAAATAGGTCTTGAGAAGGTACCAAGACTCTGGAAGAGAGAGAGAGTCAGTAAAGGAAAGGAAACCATGGCGATTTCAGGAGTGGATGGCAAGGTGTCAGAGGTCAGAGACTGAAAGGAAATGATTAGGACTGGCCCCGCCCCAGCGGCAGTCCACTCACAGACGACAACAATTACGAGCAGGCCCTGTTTCCTTCTGTTGTGCACAGGGTCACTATGAGTTGGAACCACCTTGACAGCTCCTAACAACAACAAAAGTGCCCACAGGAACAGATGAAGGGCTTAAAGACAACTCGCAGGAGGAGAAAGACTGCAGACGGAAAGTGTGAGTGAAGAGGAAGGGGGGGCTGGGGAGGAAGATCACAGGTTGGTGAGGGGTGTGATCCTGAGATAAGGTGGGAGATCTCATTTCCTGTCAAAAAGAACAAAGGAAAGAGGGGTAAAGGGCAAAACCCATAAATGTGGGGTGGGAAGCCCGGTGAGCTCAAGTAAATCTGCATGGTCTTCTCACTAAAATCACTAAAGCAGACAAAATGAGAGCCGAAATGCCCAGTTTCAGAAGGTGCCAGGTCCCCTCAGCTGGAGCGGTCCTTCTGTAATGGGGCTTACATCAGGCGGGCTGAGACAGGGTGCACGGGAAACTGCTGAGGCATAATGCAAATGAGCCAGTAAGTGACTCACACCTCCAAAGTTTAGGCCTTATATATTCTTCTAACAGAATTTTACCTGGTGGAAACTGATTGCCTATTCTGCTACATAAATGAGATGTTAATTTGCTAAGCGATCAAAACCTAAGCAAATTAATTAGAATCGACGTAGATTCTGCTTTATCTCAACAAAGGCTTCACACTCCCTAGTGAGATCGAGAAAGAATAAGAAAAATAAATAGAAGGGAAACTATTGAGCACAAATCACTCCGACATCTCTTGTTGTTTTTTTTTTGTCTTATGCCTAGAAGCTTACAAAGGAAGATCTACATACGTGAGCTCTGGTCAACTCATTTCCACTGCGGTCTCGGATACGTTGGGCTGCTGTGCGGTGGATGATCAGAGTTACATACTTGGTAGGGTTTGTTAAGAAGTGCTCTTTTTGGAGAAGCTTTATTTTATATTTCTAGATGTTTTCATTGTGAAAGTTCTCTAACTTTCATGGGAAGCAGAAAAAACATGGCAAACACCAGTAAACCGGTCGTTCTCTCTCAACGTTCTTTTCATGTTCATGAAACTCATGCTCTGTTAATAGGCAAATTGTTCAGAGTCGGGAAAGCAGGAATCCAGGCCTGCAAACTCTGCCACCACCAGCGGCACATTTCTAAGTGTAGCAGCACGCTAGGAGTCTTAGCCGGCACCAAGCTACAGTGAGGCCCACTCTCAGTAACAGAGCAGCAACATGGGCGCCCATGGGAACGTGCCACAGTGAGAAGCAAGGCTCAGGGGAGCAAGAAAAGAAGCTATTTGGGCACTTTTAGATTTAACAGGTAAAATGAAATAGTACCAAACACTACTGATGAATCCAGCCATTACATGACTGGAGAAGACCAGTGGGCTCCACTCACCTATGTCTGGAACAAATTAAAAACTTAAGAAGGGCTTCGATGTCCAAAGTTCAAGAAAGTGAATTCCTTCTATCTCTCATTCCTACTGTGGGCCTTCTTACCTTTAATTTTCTGTTTGTATTCTTCTGGTCGGTGGAGGTACATGGCTGCAGCATCACCATTGAGCGGGTCTATGGGGTTAGGATAGGCCAACAACTGGGGTAGGAAGGATTCAAATATATTGGTAAGATCTGAAAACACAAACAGAAACAGGTCAGACATGGGAATAAGCAAGCATGCCTAAATTCACCTAAAATCAAATTCTGCTTGAATTCGATTAATTCATACCCTTTCGAAGATTTCTAACAAACACACAGGAAGGAGTGTTTCCCCATGAAAAGTTTGCTTCATGACCTGTGGCCTGTATTACACACATTCCTTTCAATATCAATTTGTAACATTTTGAAAACTCAGGTAAAGATGGACCTGATCTTCACTCTCAACAGTAAACTCATTCCACGTCCAGTTTTACTGAACTGGGCGCCCAGCCTTCCCCAGCCCACTTCACAATCCCAGAGACAAGCCGGCGGTGGCTTCACACAGCCACTTTTTATGGCTTTCACAAATCTCCTTTGGAAAAACATTCAAGTTCCAGGTCTTCACTGGGACAGGGTTTGACAACATTTCAATCCTAAACTTCACGTAGGTGAATGTAACCCTTTTGTTTTTTCTTCCAATTACTCTGGAGCAGGAAGGTAAGAGACTGACATGAGAACCCAACACTATAAATTCTCAGAGCACAGAGAAGTGCCATTCACTAATCAACACAGTTAAGCAATTATCGATTAACTGCCTTCTTGCCAGATGCAGTACACAAGGGGCTCGGTACACCAAGTGACATCCACACATGGAGAAAACTCAACCAACACCTGTAGCCACACACCAGGTGTTATAGAGGAGGCCTTCCTGAGCACCTGGGTGTAAGACAGCCCCCACTTTGCTCCAACTTGCTACACCTTCCCCTCTGTCTCAGTGAACAGATGGTGACCTGGGGGTCTGGGGCTTCCATTGTTCTGTCTACTCAAGCACCTCTGCTTCATGTTTTATAGAAAACATCCCTGCTTCTCAAGGGGGAGCTGACATAGAGCAGTTTGAAAGGCTACTCCATTTTATGGCTGTTCACTTCGGTGTTAGAATAGACAGAAATGCGTATGCTCCAACGCTGGGTAGAGAAAGGCCACAAAATGGTATATTCTATGGATTTATAACTATGTATAGTATGCCTGCATTAGAATAGTTTTAAAAGCTCTATATTTTTAAAAGATGGATTCAGATGAGGATGTGGAATAAGGGATATCATTGCTGATGTCAGAAAGCTTTTGGCTGAAAGCAGAAAGGATGTTTACTTGTGTTTTACTGATTGTGCAAAGGCATTCAACTGCGTGGATCATAACAAATTATGGATAACTTTGTGAAGAATGAGAATTCCAGAATACTTAACTGTGCTCATGAGGAACTGGACATAGACCAAGAGACAGTCATTAGAACAGAACCTGCGGTAAAATCAGGAAAGATGTACATCAGGGTCGAGTCCTTTCATTATTTTTATTTAATTTGTATGCTGAGCACATAATCTGAGAAGCTAGACTGTGTGAAGAAGTTGGCATTCAGACTGGAGGAAGACTCATTTAACAGATGAGATCATCTTGTTTGCGGGAAAGCGAAGAAGATTTAAAGCACTTACTGATGAAGATCAAGAACTACAGTCTTAAGTATGGATTACACCTCAACACAGAGAAAACAAAAATCCTCACAAATGGACCAATAAACATCACAGTAGAGAAAAGATCTAAGGATTTAATTTTACTTGGATCTGTAATTAACACAGCAGTATTCAAGAAATGAAACAACAGATCGCATTGGACAAACCTGCTGCAAGAAACAAAACTCTTTAAAGATTTCACTTTGAGGACTAAGGTACACCTGACTCAAACCATGGTATTCTCAATCACCTCCTAAACATTCAAAGACTAGACAATGAGCAAGGAAGACTGCAAACTTGATGCCACTGAATTACAGTACTGAACTGCCAATAGAACGAACAAACTTGTCTTGGAAGAAGGACAGCCAGATGTTCCTTAGAAGTCAGGATGGTGAGACTGTGTCACGTGGACTTCGGACGTGCTATGAGCAGGGGCCAGTCCCTGGGGAAGGACACCATGCTTGGTAGAGGGTCAATGAAAAGGGAGCAAGATCCTCCACAAGATGGAATGGCACCATGGCTGCAACACAGGGCTCAAACTTAGCAATGATGGTGAGCGTTTCGTTCTGTTTACGTGGTAGGATTGCTATGAGTTGGAACTGACTCAACACACCCACCAAGCACAACAATGTGTCTTATGAGACAACGATCTTCTGTTCAGGGCAATGGAAAAATCTGGGAGCAGATAAAAGTGACGATGAACAAGATAGTAACTTAATGTCACCAATCTGTGGGCAAAGGAAGAGGATGGAAATGGCAAACGTTGTGCTATGTAAATACCACAAAATGGGTATTTAAAAATAATTACAAATTAAGAAAATAGCTACTTCATGGTAATAGGCTTGCCATTTCTACATGCCACACACCTTAAAATACCATTTACCTTTAAAAACAATATTTTCTTGTAATAGCTTTTCTACTTTTGTATATATATGAAACATCTAGTAAAACTGAAAAAATAGAAATTTACATTGCCTGTCTTCTTCTTTTATCCTCACAAATTGCTTAAAGGTAAGTCAATTAAGAAGACAAGGGGCACTGAAGTTTTGCAGATGAAACAATTTTCCCAGAGCAGGGAAGAGTTACCAATACTTACATTGTTGTAACTACTCATTTATATAAAAAGACAAGAAGGCAAGAACTGGCTACTGGGTGGGAGGAAAGAGGGGAGTATGACTTACGGAGTACTGAGTTTGTGTTTACGGTGATGGAACAGTCACACTGATTAAGGGTATGCTTGTTGTTGTTGTTAAGTGCCGTGGAGTCGGTTCCGACTCATAGCAACTTTGCACAGGGTTTCCGAGGCTGTAAATCTTTATGGGAGCAGAAAGCCTCATCTTTCTCCCGCAGAATGGCTGGTAGTTTTGAACTGCCGACCCTGAGGTTAGCAGGCCGACGCATGACCACTACGCTAAAGGGTATGGTACACCTGTAAAAAGTTAAACTGGCAAAAGTTATGTGATGCATATATTCACCACAGCAACCAAGAGCAGCTGCTGAGGTTGTTTGTGTACAAGCAAGTACCTTATAGGATTTGGCTTCCTGGTTTGAAGATTTGTTGTGGTTAAGTGTGTTGAGTTGGTTTCCGACCCACAGCGGCCCTGTATAGGGTTTCCAGGGAGTGGCTGGTGAGTTTGAACTGCCAACCTTGTGGTTAAGTGCTCATCCTACAGCAGCACACCACGAGGTTGAAGGGACATCCAGTTAGCTGTGAGTTTATGTGAATGGGGTTTGAATGAGGACAATGTCATCAGTGCCACTACAGCGTACATGCTGGCTATCGCGGCACTGATGACATGGAAAGTGTTGTATATATTCTCAACAAAAAAAAAGAAAAAATCATATTTGAAAACAAAAATAAGGTTACATAAACAGTAGTCACAGTAAGGATAAGAGCCTCTGTTACCACAGGTGCCAAGCTACAAACCAGCTCTCTTTCAATACACACGACTGCAATGGAGCCAGGCCCCATGACTATCTCATTTTACATGAGGAAACTAAGGCACAGGGAGGGATGAAGCCACTTGCCCAAGAGTCTAAGTTTCAAACGTCAGCTATAATCTTTAAATTGCCTCCACTAATGAAGACACCGTCTCAACCTGTGAGTCTACTGGCTTCTCCCCTCCCTCCCTGTCAGCAGGCCCAGCAAACCCAGGGTCAGAGGCAACACTTCCCCCTTCTTTTCACCCCCAATGGCCAAAGGACCCCTTTTCACAACAGGATGGTTTAAATAAACACAGTGTCTTTTGGCATTTGTGGGGCTAAACTGTCCACAATTTCAGAGGTGTGTACCTCAACCCCAGGAAGTAACTAACACGTAGCTGCTGACACAGTGTACTAGCAGTTACTCCTGACATGCTATTATTATACGTGCTGCTCAAATGGATTTGCAGCTGAACATTCCTATGAAAAAAGACAAAAATCAAACCCTTTGGAAAAAAAAAATACAGGTTTCCTTAACTTTAAGTAACGTTCGGAAGTGTTTCAGGGCTGGAGAAATTGTGCAGATGACACATTTTGTAACTCGGTGTTTCATGAGTTCCAGGAAGAGATTTTACAGCCTCCCCCACTCTGCTTGCTTAGTTCCTCAGCCTCTGTCTAGGTATTTGTTCCAAACAAGCACAGAAAACAGCTCAGTGATTGACTCGCTCTCCCTGCACCACCCACTCCTGGTCTGCCTGACTGATGTGAACAGTGTCACCTATAAAATGGGCGGGAGGGAAGGAAGAGGTGAGGGTGGTAGCTGGTCCAGGCCAGCACACTGTGGGAGGACCATTTTCACACAACAACACGATTCTCTGAAACAGAGCGGTCCCGTCCCCAAGGCACAGTCAAACATGCCCACAGAAGAGATCTACACAGCGCATCAAGAAAGATACCAAGACAATCATCTCCGGGAAAAGCTCTCATTGTGAGCAGCCCCCTCCTCTAGAATGGATTGACAATAATAACCAAAATATATGTTAGCTCAAAGACCTTTAAGAACATTAACCTTCAACCTTTTCAAAGGGAGAGAGCTAGACACAGGAGATTTGGGTCCGTGGCTCCATCACTGACTGCCTTCATTTCTTTAGGAAGTCCCAAGATACCCAAGAAGTGTGGTTTATGATGAGCAAACTGTTTTTATTTCTGTCTTAGACTAAAGTGGCAGTTGCCAAAATGTGATCCATTATGACTGTTTCTTTAAGAATGCCATATCTGACCCTAAGGGTAGTGTGATACTGACAACATTACAATACACATGAATTCCTGGTGTGGTGCTGTAGGAGCCGCACTGGACCGTGAACCACGAAGTCACCAGTTCAAACCCACCAGCAGCAACTCGAAAACCTTATACAGGGTTGCTGTGAGTCGGAACTGTCTCAACGGCACTTACCACCACAATATTCACACTGTAGTTGAGGCACATAAATGAATTTATAGTACTATTTTTTAAAGCTACCCAAATCATATAGATTTCTAATCAAAAGCAGCAACACTTAGCTCCGT